TTAGATCACAGTCAAGGAATTACTTAGTCAGCCTGCCTTGCCCGTCTCGATTGCCCAATTGCCCATTGGCACCTGCCATTCTAAATAAGATTTGTTCACACTCTTCAAAGTAAAAGCACCCTGCAACTCTGTCTGTCTGTCTGTCTGTCTGTCTGTCTGTCTCTCTCTCTCTCTCACACACACACACACACACGCACAACTTGGTCATTCCCGTTTGTGGTCATCCTACACAAAAAGGACCTCATTCTTGTTATTTTCTAAGTGAAGAACTGAGACCACAACTAGGGGGCAGCAACTTGGCAAGCGTATGGAAAAGGAGGGTGCAATCCTATGCAGGTTTAGACGGAAAAAGTCCTACAGCTCCACACATGGCTGGGGCAGGGCTTTTTCCTACCTTAACCACGCACAGGCTTGGCTGCTACTAGCCCTGCAGGTTCAGATGCAGCAGGTTCCTAAACCACCAGTTCAGGGCTGGCTAGAGACTTTTGCTCTGGTCCAGCAGGCCCCTTCTCATGCTTTTGAATCTACAGCTAACACAGAATTTGGGCCTCTGTCTCCCAGAGACAGGCCAACTTTCTACATACCAGGCTGGCTGTGGGATCTCATTTATTTCATGGGCCATTTACTCAGTCTGTTCCCCACCATTTTGCTATTTATTCGCAATATTGGTATTCGATCCCAGAACAAATATTGCTAGGTGGTTAACAATACAAATGTAAAAGCATTTAACACCCATCACCCACTGGCAAGAAGTAATACATAGAATTAAAAACACCATAGAAAACAAAACCAAGTTCAGCAACAGCAAAACGTCAAAACGGCTGAACAATGCCACTAAAAGTTAACATTTTTAGTATCTGGGGAAACAGAAAAATCCTTGCCTGGTGATCACAGGATCACAGAATGACCTGCAAGCAGCACCCTTACAGAACCCTGCTGGGAGAAAGCATTCCATAACCAGGATGCCACTACGGGAAAGGCACCTGCAAGAGGGCCTCTCAAATGACCTGGGTGGGGTCTGGGAAAGTATACATGCAACGGGGTGATCCTGCATCTCCTCCGGCCTCAAGCCACTCAGTGCTCTGAAGATAAAGCCAATGGTGGCGAGAGTGTCAGCCTGAGGACCCGGTTTCTAGTCCTCACTCGGCCATGGAATGAACTGGGTGACTTTGGGCCAGTCACTCACTCTTAGCCCAACCTACATCACAGGGTTGTTGTGAAGATTAAATGTAGCTATGTAAGCCACCCCAGGTTCCTCACAAGAGGAAAGAAGACAGGATATGAATGCACTGTAATGCACTGTAATGCACTGTAATGCAGTGTAATGCAGCGCAGTGTAATGCACTGTAAAATAATAATTATAAGAACAATAGCCGCCACCTGAACTGGGGTCAAAAACAGAGCAAAGGCAACAGAGATGGAAACCAACAACATTTAAATAGGCCCAAATGAGGGGGTTAAGGAGGGTCAAAATGGTCCCCCAAGAGGCATTAAGTCATACACATTCTTTCGTTCCACAGCCTTTCAATCTGCTATATGGTCCCATGGACTTTAATGTTCCTTTACTTCTTTAAATGTCAAAAGTAATGCGAGGACCACAGAGTTTTGAGGCACCTTAAAGAGAGGCACACTTTCCTGGCCACCGCACATGTCATCAGCTGCATGAAGTGTTAACCTCAAAGCTGCAGATCTCTGTACACGTGCGGCATCTGTGCTGTCAGAGGGACCGGAAAAACAAAGGCTGCAGCGTGATGATCACCCGGGGCTGCTAGCTGCAGATTGCTGGGAGACAACAAAGGTTTCATTGTAGAAGGAGCCAATTAAGATATACGGTATGATTTTTTAAAAGTCTTTAGTCAACCCACAGGAAACAGAGCTGCATCACTTGACGTATTGTACTTCAGCCATTCTGATTCGATATCTGCCATTGAAACGGCTTTGTTCATGAACGGTCACATTAAGTTCACAGACAGGCATGTCCTGAGAGGCTCAAATATCCCGCTTCTGGTTTCCGAGCAGGGCTATTCCTGATGTCCATGTTCCTTTACACAGGCAGTGGCCTGTTTGCCCCATGCAAAATGCAGCAGAGCACTCTTGGCAAGTGCTGACATCTATTGTCTGGGGCATGAGCAAGGGTGGGAGCCCCTGATGCTGCGGGTGGCATTGCCAAGTCCTGTAACAGGCCTACGGAGTTGACACGGAACAGAGGTGGAACTGTGCCAGCTGCAGGGTCCAGTTCATCCATCTGTATCTCCATTCAAGGTCTGTTTTTCCTGGTGAGAATCCTTTCTAGGTCAGGCAGCTGACTGTTCTCATTTTCAGACCTACCACCGAAGGGCTTAAAGAGGGAAGAAGTGTCATTGTCCAGGAGGGGTTGCAGATCACTAATGAGATAATTTCCGTGGTCTTAGCTTGGAATTGCAGGTGACAACTAGTGATGTTCTGTTTTCTCTTCTGGGTCTGTCCTGCAACTGATTATTTTTGGGTTATATAAGCCTGGGGCCCTTGAATTGCTGTTTTGTTTTGTTCTGTTCTGTTCTGTTTTGTTGGGTAAGCTCTGTACCCTGCAAAATGTCTGATTTAAATCCTTAAGATGCAAGCCTTTGTCTGCTTGACCATAAACAATGGATTCTAGGTGCACTCTGGTCAGACACAAAATCCACTGCACACAGCCCAGAGCTATGATACAACCACATCTGCTCAGGCTTGTCAGACAGACTCACAGCTTAAGGATCTAAATCAGGCATTTCTCAGATTACGATACTTGCCCAACAAAGGGAAAAGCAAAGCAACAGAACTGGCTTGGTACCTAAGACCTTGCTGAGCCAAGACTACTCAAAAGTTATCACCAGAGGCAGCAGAGGAGGTGGTAAAACCACTTCAGACTCCTAGTGAGCATTCACATAACTCACTGCTCTTCAAGAAATCCTCTCCAGTAGAAAACCAGCATGTCAGGGAAAAGGCTAGGCCAGAACTCTTGTCCCTGACACTGACTGGGTTTCATTTAATGTAGGGAATTGCTGAATCCCATGTGCCCCCTGCCCACAACCTGTGGTGGCACAGACAAGACCCCACGTCATCGGCTGTTGGTAGGAACTGAAGTCTAGAAGAATCAATTTCTGACTGGACCAAATCTCTGAGCAACAGAAAGCTGGCACAGCTATGGCTTTCTGGGGAAGGATAATGGATCAGTGGCGGAGCACCAGCTCTGCATGCTGAAGGGCCCAGACTCCTTCCCCAGCTTGTCAAGGCAGGGCGGGGAAAGACTCTGAGATGCTGCCAGTCAGTGTTGGCAAAACTGAATCAAGATGTACACAAGAGCCAGTGGGGTGTAGTAAAGAGTGCTGGGTGGGGACTCAGGAGATCTGGGTTCCAGTCCCTGCTCAGCCATGGAGCCAGCTTGTGACTTTGGGCCAGTTGCAGAGTCTCTGCCCAACCTACCTCACAGAGTTGTTGTGGTGAGGCTAAGACTGAGAGGAGGCGAATTATGTAAACTGCCCTGAGTTCCTTGATGGGAAAAAAGTTGGGGTACTAATATAATAAATAAGGGTTTGACTCAGTGTTAGTGGCTTCATAGTGTGCTGAATTATCACAGTAATGTAAACTTGTAGAGGTGAAATCTAGAGCTCTCACATGCTACAGGAGTAAAATACAAGTAAGCTGTCCATTATTCACTTGAAATTTTAGGTGCAGCATCAGCAGGATAAGGGAAGAGCAGTTGCTTGTGGAATTGATGGCTGCTGCTGAAGTATAAGTAGGAAAATCAGAAGTGCATTTCAGGGGAACCAACCATCTCAGCCATGATCAGGGACCTCCAACTAGGCCTTCCTTCCCCTCCAGCACAAAGTAACCCTGTGAGCTACAGCAGGACTGCATTTTCTGTGGGGAGGGTTCATATTTCCATAGGAAACTGGGAACATCCTCCAGATGATCAGCCTCTGCAAGAAAACACTATGAAACTCCTTGTATCTATAGGCTGGGCTTCTTTCTGGATGCATTTATTACTCAATACAGACATATCTCTGCAAACATATTCACAATCTCTGTCTGTGCCCTTTGTTTCCTTCCTTGGGAGGTAACAGCCACCCAAGGTAGATTTGATAAACAACCTCCAGGCCATCCCTGTGCAGGAAAGCAGAACAGGTCAGGGAAATTTGAGATTCTAGCTTACACGACTGCTAGATGTATATGGAAGCAAAAACTGAACAGGCCAACAACCCCTCAGCAGGGTTCAGCTGGTTACTTGCTTTAGGGTGGGAGGTAAGCCAAGGTGAGTGGATATTTGGTGGGCTTTACGAAGGTGCCTCAGTAGTTCCCTATCCAAAGGTGCGATACTAGGCAAGTTTAGAAAGCCTGCAATTCCCAGTGAAGAGACCTTTCTCTGCCTAAACTTGCAAAGGATTGCACCCTAGGGATCAGGTGTCAGTTCCCGTAAGAAATGACCTAGATAAACAACTCTATCTTCTCACTTTGAATCCTGGCTTGATTGTCCTTATTTACTTCTTCACACCCCAAGAGCCACAGCAACACAGGGGTCACTGTTACTCACAGGCTCATCATAGGTAGGTAGGGGAAGGGCATGCAGAAGACCCCAGATTCAATCCTCAGCATCTCTAGGTAGGGCTGAGAAAAGGTACACACAGGTTGGCTGCCAGGAACTCCAGGTTGCCCTGAAGCTCCTGCAGATCTTTACAGTCAGGTGAGCTTCTTCTTTTGTCCCCTTAAATCAGATTGGGGGAAAGCTATAGCATGTAAAGCAGAAGTGAGCAGTGGCTCTCCAGATGTTTTGGCCCTCAACACTGACTATGCTGGCTTGCACTGATAGAGAGTCGTGGGCCACAAGCTGCCATAAGGAAACCCACTTGAAATCTCCTGTGGACGCCAAAGTATAAGCAGGCCCTGCCCCATTCTGTCCCACTGAGAGTCCTTTCTGCACACAGAGAGCATTCCCATGCACTGCCTGTCCAATTTTATCCCCTTCCAGTTCCAATCCCACTCACCTCTTCATTGTTGTAAAGGGCCTGGAGTGGACTTCGACCAGACTTCCCATGCCAGATGGTCTTCAAAATCCTGTCTTCTGCAGCTGCAAAGAAATGGAAATGACAGAGTTGAGAACTTGTGCTTGTCTGATAAAAATGAAACAGCACAATATATGGTGAAAAGCATGATGTAATTCAGACACTAGCATCTGAAAGGGGAGTCTGTTGGAAGATAATTTTATACATGTTCTCATCAGTTGGGCTCAAACTAAATTTCTAAGCCCAATCAAGTGCAAATGGCACCAGACTGAAATGATATGCTCTGGTCCTTAAGTCTGAGAGAGCAATCTGGCTACTGCATTTTAGGTCATTTAAAAAGTTTCCAGAGCATCTTGAAAGCAGCCCCATGTAGAAAGCACTGGGACAGGCCAGTCTGGAAGCAATTAAGGCATGCAACTGAGGCCAGGTCTGCCTCCTGCAGAAAAGGCCGCAGCCAAGAGACCCACTGAAGCTGGACAGACAGTCTATGCCATCTCTTGAATAGTCAAGGAAATGCCAAGTCAAGGAGCATTTGCAAACCCACCTAGGTCAGGCTTCAGGACCTCTCAAAAAACTGCCAGAGCTCCTGCCAGAGAAACTGCAACCACTTTCCCTGTGTACGCACGTTTAGATAAACATACTGTATAACAACCACATTCTTATGTTCCACCTTGCTCCCTCCTGCAAACAACCTAAGATGACTTACGTGGTACTACTCCTTGCCATTTGATCGTCACAAGACTCCTGTAATGTAGGTTAGGCTGAGAGTCAGTAACTGACCCACAGTCAACCAGTAAGCTTCATGGCCAAGTGGAGAGTAGAACTCCAAACGCTTTAGTCCTATTCTAAGACACTGCTATGCCTCACTGGCACACACACATGCTTATGAATATACATGCAAGTATACATCAATATGCAGGGGGTGGGTGTCAGATCCTTTCAGAGCATTATGAGTGGGACCTGAGTGTTCAGAGTTCCAGCCACCCAGCTGCCCGCTTCCAGGATATTCCATTTTAGCACCGCTCAGATTTCTGTCCCTTCTACCTATGACAGAGTTGGAGAAAGGGTAGAAAGGAGCAACTAAAATGATCAAGAGACTGGTGCAACTCTCCTGAGAGGAAAGGTAACAAGAACTGAAATGTTTTGACTTAGAAAATAGGCAAGAGCAAGAGGTGAGTGGGAGCAGATCTATGTCTGGCCTGCAGAAGGTAAAGGAGGAGGCATTTCTCTCCCTCTCCCCTAATAGCAGGTCCTGGGCTCCTCCCATGAAGCTGATTAAAGAGATGTCAGGACAGATAAAAGGGGAAAGATGATGTCCTCACACAGCACATAGTTAGACTGTGAAAGCTGCTTCCACAAGATGTGCTGATGGCCACTAATTAGGATAGCTTTAAAAGGGGATGGAATAAATTCATGGGGGAGGCCACTATTCTCGATGGCTATATGCAACCTCCAGTATTGCCTCTGTACACCGGTTACAGGGGACCTTGGGCAGGAGGGGACTGTTGCACAGGTATCCTGCTATTAGGATCCTGTCAGCAGCTGGCCTGCCTCTGTATGAACATAATGCTGGGCTAGATGGACGCTTGGTCTGGTGCAGCTGCAGCCTGCCTCTTCTTCTGGTCTTCTGACAACTGTCAGTCAGCACTCTGTGCACCCTGGGCATGCTCAGTCCTCACGGAACTGTTTCATGGGAGTGTGTGGTGAGGAGGGAGGGACCATTCCTGCTTCAAAGATGTTTTGATCCTTCCGGAAATTTTGGGGTCCCCCAACCTGCTGATACCTCCCTCTTGTGCTTGAATGGAGCTGTTTTGGCTGCCAAAGTATCAGCATTTAGAGAATGAGATTCTTATCAGTATACAGGGCAGGTTAAAAGCAGAACTTTAAGCACTCTGGCAGGTGATGGTGTGGTCAAATATCCAGGTGGTCAGGGCCATGGCTCTGCATTTCTAAACAAATGAGAACACGAGAATTGCTTGCTGGGTAAGAGTGTGCATCTGTGTCCTCCTGCTTCCATGACGGCCTCTGGGAATTTCAAAAGCAGGGCATGAAGGAACAGCCTCATCCTTCGTTTGTCCTCAGGGCCTGCTCTCTGGAGGCAGAGCAGAACATTATAATTAGCTGCCCGACACACTAAGAGCAAGCCACATTCTCTGAGGGTAGATTCTCATGTAGCCAAACTGGGACGTCTGTGATGCACGAGAAGGTGGGATCAGGGGCATGGGGAGCTCCAGATTCTTCAGTGAAATGGAAAGCGAAAGGAGATGGGGGAGAGAAACTAACATATGCCAATGAGGACTGAGCATGCTCGGTGGCAACAGAAGCATAGGCAATGCAGGGGGTGGAGTGGCATGTCCTAGAAGGGGCCATGGCATGCCAAAGCTCAAGCGCTCTACACTGCAATAACCAGAGACAAGGCTTTCTTCCAGGTGCCTTCCAAATGAGTGACTCCTACCTCTTGTTGTAGTGAATGCCACATGTGGCTCATTTATGGGTAGGAACAGTCTGCTGACTGCTCTCAAACTCTAAACCAAGTTTGCTCCTGGGATTTCACGGAACCATTGCAATATGCATGTGTGTATGCACACGCATGAGTCTTATTTCTGGGCAAGTAGTGGGAAGGGTTGCAAACTTGGTCTATTAAAATAAATTAATGGATACTGCACAATCCTTTAATTTTTTCAAGCCACCATTTGTGCCCCTGCTATTTAACACGGTGCTTTTGCAGTATGTAAACTCTTCATGGGTGACTTACTAGACCATGAAGTTGATGCAGTCACAGGAAAACAACCATTTCCTGGTGTGCCAGACTCCCCGGGCAACTATTCAACAAGCAGCAGCCCTCAGCAACAGGTACCCTTGGCCTACAAGGGAGTAAAGCCACCATTATGCAAGGTGGAGCGAAGGGCCTGATCAACATCTGCCCAAACACTCATGCATGAGGCTCTGTGCCACACCTTGAAACTGACTTACTGATTAAAGCTGAAATCTGTCAAGGCAGTTTTTAGTAAGAGTTGTAAACCTGAACTCTCTGCAGTAGCTGAAAACACTTTGTGACAGTAAGTGCTTAAATCAAACTTTTTTTGTACACAAAAAACGGATACTGTAGTGGAGAGAAGCAGCGATGTCAAAATCAAGGCCTAAGCTCAGGACCTGCATTTTGGTAGGGCAGGAAAGTGTCACTGAGCAGAACCAGTCCCCTCATAGCTTCCACCCAGTGTCCTGTTATAGCTGCTGACTCTGTACTTTTAAGCCACAAGGAGGCAAGTTTAAACGGGCAAATCTAGACCTGCCCAACCAAGTTATCTGCGTGGAACATCTGACAGAGCAGGTTGGGGGAGCACAGCTGCCATGGGACGAGCTTCAGCAGTTAGAGGCCTCCAATGCCTATCACATCCATAATTCAAAAGTAACCAAACAGAGATGAAGCATCTTAACATCACTGGCCCTGCCTGGAAATGGGAAGAGAATCAAATGCATCTTTTTATGCTGCTCTGTACCAGGGAAATGTATCTTCCTCTCCAGAGCTTGCTGAAGAAAGGGGAAAAATAAGACTTGCAGTCAGTAAGGAATGGCACAGATGTAACCTGAGGGCTTTCAGCAGCCTCATCTAACGGCCGAAAACAAAGGCAAGCCATCTGTATTTATGAAAGAGTGGCCAGTTCTGCTTGGGATAGGCTGGGGAGGCAGCTTCCCTCGGAAGGAACTACGACTCTCTGTGGGTGGGTGCAGTGGTGACCTGCGAGGCTGGCTGTTGCTACAGGAAAAGTGCCCCTCTGGCTGATGCAATGGGCCTGTGGAAAGAGGAGGCTGGAGGGAAGTGGAGTGAGCTGCCCTCTGCCCCATCTGGCTCTACTGCAGAGGAGGAGACGTGGGGTGTTGCAAGCAAATGCAACCCAATTCCACAGAGTTACCGTTAAGAAGGTAACAGGAAAAGCCTTTCCTTGCCATTCTGCAAGATGTGGACAGTCAAGTGTTGTGTGTGCATTTCAGCCTTGCATCAGCTCTGCCCTGGCCTGGAGATACACAGAGCTAATCCAGCTTAGCAGAATTGGGCTCTGCAGGACTGGGGTGGGGAACCTGCAGAATACGGTCCCAATAAGGAGCTTGGCTCTGTTCTGTTGGATCATGTCATTGTCCCCAACCCACAGCACTGACACCCACACCGTGCTCCCTCCAGCTGTCCTGGCAGTGTCCCCCAGGCCAAGTGGCTCTTATGCGGAGGAGAATAGGACTTTAAGAAGAAGACTCCCCCTTCATCTCACCCCCAACCTCTCCCCTAAAAGTTTCCCTCTATGCCCAGCTTCACACAGCAGGAGTCCCAACATGGTGTATGGGCACCTGTAAAACCTTCCCTCTCTCTTTAAAGCTTCCTTTCATTTTTAAAATATATGTATATAGTTTCATACATATTAACAGCATTAAATAGATATATGAAATGCTTGCAGATTTCTGGCAACTATACCTAGGCTTCAACAAAAGTAGAATGATTATCCAAATAAGTATCCATTTGAATATACTCAAATACAGAATGTGTTACAAGGTCCTGAATCTGCTCCAGTACAGGAGGAGTTTATCCTTCCAGTGTTTAATCAGTCTTTCATCTGCCAAAAGGGTGTAGAGCATCCTTCTATACCAACCATTTCTTAATTTCCATGGAGAAAGCAAATAATATAAAAGAGCATGTACGACAGTGCATATTAAAAGCTGTTTCAGTACAAAATTTATCTGCGTAATAGCCTTCTCTCCAAAAGAGGCAGCTGGAAATTGCCCAAACATTTCATTGCAATGCTAGCAATCAGTCAAAGTAGACAATCCCTTCTTAAAGATAGCGTTCAATAGTTTAGTAAACACAATATTTTGCTGAATAAGATGCAGCCTAAGATCCGGAGACGTGACAAGTAGATACCAAAGCAGCAACACCCTTATTAGGCATCTAGCAGTAGTGCTCGTATCAGTTTCTCAAATTTCCAAATGTATCCATAGACCCAAAAAGTTTGTGAAGACCTGCCACAGGGAGTTCTAGCAAGTGGGGAGGAGGAGATGGGGAGAGGGAGGGGGAGAG